GCCATTTTAAATTTTGATTTGTCAAAACAATTCCAGTTAATTGTTTACACCTCCACCGATAATTTACTGGCCTACTGAACCACATAGCCATCAGCATTGTTTACGTAGATCAAGCTTGGGTTGTAACTGGAAGTTAAAAATACAACCTAATTTATGAACCAAATCCAGAAATCGGGGATTCCAGCGATAAGCATGACTCGCCGTGTCATAAAAAATAATCAGTTTAAGTGTCGAAAAGTAACCCGACGAAAGTGGGTGAGTTGTCAACTATGTATAGGACTGTTGAAATTGTATGATTTTCAAGCAATTTATGGAATAAATTAACGCAAAAAGTGGCATGTATATTCCTACGCCAGATACATGAAGGTCTAAATAGTTCGAGTACTTTAATATTATTTGGCGCATGAAGAAAGCGGTGAAGAGTCAGAGATTTCATCATGGCTATACCAAAAGTCTCTGTCTAGACTGTAGCTCTACTGGTTTGTACTTGTAATAAAGGAAGAGAAAAGTAGCAGTTGGGACTTTACAAAAGCAATAAATAAAATAATGATCCTTGATCAAGTCTCTTTTTGTGGCAAGATTGCAATACCGTATAGCGGGTTTTCTTGGTGGGTGTAAAATTTGGCGCTTTGCCTGCTGAAAGGTATGCCAATATTTTTAGCGTAATTAATTTAGCGGACGCTGGGTTTCTGTTCATTGCAGATGGACACATAGAAGAGTCACAATGACTACTTTAACGATTAAAATTTTAGCGGACTATCATGAAAACACCAAAATAAGCCAAAATTATCAACCCGCTAAAATAACCCGCTATACAGTAAGCTACAACTGTAGGAGTAGCTTTTAATAAAACTTCAGAATTTTTAATTTTAGTTACCATGGCAACAACAATCATCAAAATCAAAAACACAAAACTGATAATTAATACGTATCTCAGTGTAGTCTACTTGCTTGTCAATTAACTTATATTATAATCAGACCAAAACTGTATTTGGAGTAGCATTTTTAAAGTATTTCACAGATTTTTCTGTCTTTAGTAACCGAGACATTGCTCATCGAAATCAAAAACTGATATACAGAATTATGTATCTTAAGCTTAAGAGTAGTCTACTTGTGTGCCCAGTTATATTGAAATCAGACCCAATCTGTAATAGGAGTAGCATTTTGAAAGCATTTCACAGAAATTTCTATTTTTATTAACCCCGGCAACACCGTTCATCGAAATCAAAAACCAATACACAGAATTATTGCAGCACGGAAGATCGGGCTGCCCAATTACACATATAAGTTTAAGTGTTGGTGTAATCTGTAAAATAATAATGTTTTTCACATTTAAGAATAAAGTTGCTTATCATTTACTTTCGAAAAAACGACAGGTCCCTTTTTTTTTTTAGAAGATTGAATTTTATATGTCACATAAAAACCTACTCTACACAGTATTCTACACAGTATTCTCAAAGTGAAATACATTTTTTTTTAAACATCTAGGTGATATCTAGGTGATACATGTGTCTGGTTTCAATTTATATTTATGCAGCCAACATTTCCTTCAGGAAATGATAAAGTTTACTTCAGGAAATGATAAAGTGTCGTTTTTGTTCGATTTTCATCCAACTACAAATTTTCAAAATCTGTTTGACTATCATCTCCATCATTTAGACGCATGCCTTTTTCACACACATCGAAGCGGTATGATGATCAAGAATCATTTCCATTGTTTATTACTTTATTTATTTCTCGGGTGACAATTGATGGTTACTTCAATGTTTTCTTGTTAGCACATGTATAGTACATATATAGTCTACTTGTGTGCCAAGTTATATTGAAATCTGACCCAGGGGTAGAAACTCCCTTAAATTACAACTCGCAAATAATTGCGCGTTCCAAAAAAATGAACTCGCAATTTTAAAATAAAAGCTTTCTAGAAATAAATCGATATCTATTTATTTTTCTTCAAAATTTTCTGCATGAGGTTTAAAAGAGAATATGTTTCTTTCCTGTAACATTTCCAAAAATCATTGTTCTGTAGGTCAGGATTTTTTTGTCTTCTTTTGATTATTAATAAGAGAGTTAAACATCCCCGGACTGAATAAACTAGGTGTTATATTTACAGTCTACATCTAACATGGCACCCAACATGGCTGCCTAGTATCAGAAAACGAACTTCAAAAAGATGTAGGGGGGAAATTGTTACATGTACAATAATGATAACTCTTTATATACAAGGTAAATGTTAACTGGGTTGACATATTTTATGTCTCAAGTTAAGCTACAATTATTTTTTTGAAAAAATGGAATCAGCTGATTGACCAAACCATGCAGATTTGTCAGAAAACAAAATCCACCCAGACATGTCTCTGCCCGGAGGTAATTTGAATGGATCGAGCGTTTTTTTTTAGGCCTGTTCATCGAACATGCACCCAACTGAAAAATTTTTCAAACAAATCACTCACAAATTGCCTACAAATTGCTTTAAAATCACTTAAAAGTGATTTGTTTCAGTGATTTGTAAGCAATTCATCTAACAAATCATGCTTAAATCACTTTCTACTAAAATGATGACTATGATTTGCTTACAATTTGTTATAAAAGGGTGATTTGCTTGTGATTTCTTTCCAATTTCAGACAATTTCTGAGTGATTTGTTAAACTTAGGAAATTGTTACAGTGATTTCTTCATGATTTGTTGAACTTAGCCATTCTTCAAGGTGATTTGAACATGATTTCTGGAACTTAGTCTTTCTTCAGAGTGATTTGAAGATGAAGTCTTTCTTCAAAATGATTTGTAAATGATTTGTTGATCTCATGGCCCTTCTTCAGAGTGATTTGAGAATGATTTACTTCATAACTTCTGCCTGGCTTGCTGATTGGTCAGTATTAGAAACTCTACCGCCAATTTTCATTAATCAGATTTGAATTGAAATGAAAGGAGCTACATTGTAAGGGTGAAACGTTTACTGAATTTTGTAAACGTTTAAATGGATAGCAATAAACGAAACGTTACCGTTTAAACGGGAGATATTCTATATTGGATTTTTATGGCTACTTACTCATGAAACTCGAATTTAATAATCAATTCTTTCACTTTAATATAAGTACGAGTTGTTATTACAATTTCATTGTTGGTCATTATGACTTAAACGTAAGAATTTGAGGTGCATTAAACTCATTCGCTTTCTACCTCGTCACCCAACTGCTTGCTTTGTTTGGCTACATACCGGATGTAGAAAAAAAGAATTGTAAAGATAGATCTTTTAATCTCGAAAAAAGTAAAACAAGGCCTGCTGACTGTATCGAAACACTTTTCAAAGACTTGTGAAAAATCAAGTTTTATATTTCAAGTGTCGTAAAACATCGCTAGTATTGGCAACTCGGAAATCAGGATTAAATGTTAGACCGTGTCGGGCTGTATATAAAATGTTTTATTTCAATGTTTCCGGTTTAGATTGTTGCTTGTCAAATGGTCAAAGACGCTGTTTCTTTTGTAAATTATGAAATAAAACAATTGTTTGTGTTAAACTTTATTTCTGATAGACATTGATAATGACCTTCATGTAAACGTTTACTCAAACTGTAAACGTTTAGAGCATATAATCGAAACGTCGCCGTTTACACGTGTAATCTTTTCGCCCTTACTATATTGTGCTCTTCTAGATTCATACCTCTCTTCTTTTGTTGAAACTCATGTTTTTTCAATAATCATGCAGAATATAGTTTTAAGGTATGTATAACTGTATTATGCTATCATTTCCTCTTGAGATTCATGCAGTTAATATTCCCTATGTTCACATGCAATTTATCGTTCTTCTACCAACAACAGAGTTGGTGGCAATTAATGTTTAAAACAAAATCTATGTAAAGCTATAAGCTTCAGCAAAGTACTGGCTTTTTCAAAGTGTCTAGACAAATATTTATTTCAGATAAGAAAACATTTACCAACTTCTAAAAGTCAACAATTAATGCTTATATCATATTCTGAATTTGTAGCCAAGTACATGTGTATATATCTAAAATACATGATGCCATCTTAATGAGGACACATCCTAGTAAAAGTTTATATTTTAAAATACACTTGCGAAAAGTTTTTTGTTTATATACAACAAATACCGGTATGCATGCATGTGTGTTTCAAATATTTGAGGGATGGTTAAGAAAGTGATTTGTTAAACTGAAGTGATTTGTTTGCAATTTATTTGAAATGATTTGTTTGCAATTTATTTGGAGTGATTTGGTTGCGATTTGTTCAACAGAAGTGATTTGTACACGATTTATTCAAAGTGATTTCGTTGTGATTTCAGGGTGATTTGCTTACAATTTGTTAGGAGTGATTTGTTAGCTCATTTGCATGGGAATTTGCATCACTTACAAATCATCTTCAAATCACTGATTCATTAGTGATTTTTCTTAGAGTGATTTGTTTGAGGATTTTTTTCACTTGGGTGGTTTTAAAAAAGGGGTATGTCTTATATCTTTTTTCATAGGTAAAATTTACAATGAAAAAAATCAACTCGCAAAAATTTGCGAGTTACAAATTTTTTAACTCGCAATTTTGATATTCTAACTTGCATTTTGCGAGTTGTATATTATGAATTTCGAACCCTGGGACCAAAACTTTAATAGTAGCATTTTGAAAAATTGTTTACAGACAGACAGCTAGACCGACAGATGGACGGACGCCTGATGCATTACTATCTCATAATCTCTTCTGGTCTCTGACCAGTAGAGCTAAAATCCAACCCACAGGAAGGAGACTCCTGAACTTTTTGATCTGTTACTGGTGATGAAAATGTAAAATTTGTTCAATTTGCAAATTACATGCTTTAAATAGTGTTTAAAATTTGCTGTTAATAGATGTTTACAGATTCTTAAGATGGATAAACACACACAAACTTTGTTTGCTGTGATATAAAAACACCTCTACAAAAACACTTGTAAATTTAATTCCCAGACCCCTTAGCTTTATCTCTTAATCTCAACTGCAAGTTCCTTGTTAAAGCTTACCATAAATGTACAAGCTAACCACATCACTTAAAACCTGTGTGCCATTGTTGTATGTAACACTGCATTGATAACCTCCTGTGTCTGAAGTTAATGGTGATTTGATAATCAAATCCGAATTTGATCCATTCTCAACCCTTCCAACATATGAACCCTGTGGTACTGGTGTAGCTGTTGGGCCAATCTGCCTCATAATTAATGTTGATAAATTGTAGTTCCATCTTACAACTCCAACACTCATAAACGATTCAACTGTCCATGTTAGTGTGACTGCCTTGTTAACACATTCAGATGCAATTGCTGGAGGTGTGACTTGGAAATTGCAATCTAAAACATATACAATTGCATTAAACACTAAAAATTGAATAATTCATAATATATCCACAATAAACAACAGGTTCATAGCTACAATACTTTCTTACAAACAAATTAATCTGAAAAATAAAACCTCCCAAGTGAAATTTTTTTTTAAACAAATCACTTACAAATTGCCTACAAATTGCTCTAAAATCACTTAAAATTGATTTGTTTCAGTGATTTGTAAGCAATTCATCTATCAATTCATGCACAAATCATTTCTACTAAAATGATGAATATGATTTGCTTACAATTTGTTATGAAAGGGTGATTTGCCTGTGATTTCTTTCCCATTTCCGACAATTTCTGAGTGATTTGTTAAACTTAGGAAATTGCTACAGTGATTTCTTCATGATTTGTTGAACTTAACCGTTCTTCAATGTGATTTGAAAATGTTTCTTGAACATAGTCTTTCTTCGAAATGATTTGAAAATGATTTGTTAACTTAGTCCTTCTTCTGGATAATTTGTAAATGATTTGTTGAACTCATGGTCCTTCTTCAGAGTGATTTGAGAATGATTTACTTCATAACTTCCGCCTGGCTTGCTGATTGGTCAGTATTAGAAACTCTACCGCCAATTTTCATTAATCAGATTTGAATTGAAATGAAAGGAGCTAGCTTTTGCTGTTCTAGATTCATACCTCTCTTCTTTTGTTGAAACTGATGTTTTTTCCATAACCACTCAGAATACAGTTTTAAGGTATGTGTAACTGTGTTTTGTTCTAATATTCTCCTTAGATTCAGTTAATATTCCATATTTAACAAGCAATTTATTGTTCTTCTACCAACAACAAAATTGATGGCAATTTATGTTCAAAACAAAATCAATGTAAAGCTATAATGTTCAGCAAAGTACTGGCTTTTTCAAAGTGTCTAGACAAATATTTATTTCAGATAAGAAAACATTTACCAACTTCTCTAAGTCAATAATTATAATGCTTATATTATATTCTGAATTTGGAGCCAAGTGCATATGTGTATATCTTAAATACATGATGCCATCTTAATGAGGACATTTCCTAGTAAAAGTTCATATCTTAAGATACTCTTGCCAAAATTTCTTTGTTAATATACAACAATCATGCATGTGTTTCAAATATTTGAGAGATGGTTACATGTGAGCATTGTGCATAGCTTACAATTTATTAATGTGATTTGTTAGCTCATTTGCATGGGAATTTGCATCACTTACAAATCATCTTCAAATCACTGATTCATTAGTGATTTGTTAAAGTGATTTGTTTGAGGATTTTTTTCACTTGGGCCTATCAAAAAAGTTGACAAGATTCAAATAGCCACTAACCAAAGAGTTAATCTTACATAATTTACATTTTTATATACATGTATTTGAATATTACAATATTTGCATTTCTATTTCATTCTACAGTTATCTATTTTATCCAATCTAACATTGAATTCATACAAAATTAAATCAAAAGTTATTAGTAGATGGCTTGTATATATATACATGTTGTTCCAAACATAAGATCAAAGAGATGTCCAGTCCCATTTCAAAGTCAACAAAGTACTAAATCTGTATACAGTTTAGAGCATATACTGTAAATGTATTACATTTGGTATGTATGATATTTGGCGGATATTCAATTTTCAACAAGTTAGCATACATTTGATGTAGCACTGTCTGAAGTTGCTTCTTATAAAAGTTAATACACAAGACATTTAGCAATGTACAGTGGTCAGATATGACGCCAGATAGTTGCGAATATTTCGGAACGAAATTTTTAAATATTATTTTGTCTTGTTTAAGTGGTGATTCAGATATCCGGATGCTTCACATATCCGGACAAACTGACTGGGAACCAAAGCGTCCGTATAAATGAGGGTCCACTGTACTTGAATTAGCAGACTCTGCACATGATAGGGCACTCTTTGGGGGTAAGGTCAAGTGCTTACTCTCTCCGACAAGTCACATTCCAGGATGAAACAAAAAAGACAACTGCTGCAGATTCTCCAGATAAATTGCAGAATCAAATTGACAGTCTTAAAGGCAATTGAAAGTCTCAATGTTAAGCTGAGTATGCCAAACAGATACTCAGGAACAGATCTGAGCAGAATTAATCTGCGAGTCTAATATGTTTTTTTTTTTTAATTTTACTCTAGACAGTTTATATAATTGTTTTAAAATTCTTACAAAAAAATTCTTTAGTAAAATCATGCATCTGATATGTACCAGGGCTCGACATTAACACTAATGTCCGCTTGTCCGGTACCAGTGAAATGAAAATACGTCAAGTGAATATTGCTGGGCACTTGTCCGATTGGACAAGTGTATTTTAACCCTTTGTGTGCTGACTTGTTTTACGTGCGCTGTAACCTCAGGACTGAGTTGTTTTGTAATATCAACAAAATTATCACAATGGCGCCGGTGTACTAAAATGCAAATATCTAAAATTGTTGACAACCAATTTGCTTGAAATTTGGCAAATATATAGCAAATGTTGTGTTTTTTAATCTGTAATATTTTTTTTTAAAAATCTAATATTCTATGTTGCCATGGAAACCAAATTTTCAAAAAATATATTTTAAAATGACTTTTTAGCATTTTAACTATATTTTTCAGAGAAAATACTGCACTTTGATGAAAAAAATAAATCAATTGCTTTAAAAATACAATTTTAGTTTAATATAATGTAAAAAAAAAAATTAATTTAAACAATAACTCAATGATAAAGTCAATGTTATATATACCATTATGTTGTGAAAAGTCATTGTATACTTATCTGAGTAAGGGATATATTCATGTAGGTTTAAGTGAATTCTGATTTAAGTTAATGGATGTTTTTCACATTTTAACTGAATAAAGAGTATAAATTGAAGATTAAATTAGCCTGTAAATATAAAACCAGTGATTATTTTAAGAAAAAATAGCAAACATATAAGAAAGTATGATCCTCAAAGAATATGCAGTTTTCGAGGTTGGGAAATCTTGGAGCAAACTGGCACAACAATGAACTGTTACTAGTATTCATTTTCAAATTAAAGCAGTCAATATGTTAAATAAATTTAAAAAAATAATAAAATAACATTTACTTTAAGTTATACAGGTCTTATTTTCTAATGACTGGTATCTATATAAACAGCCCTAAATATACTCTAGACTTAGTAATTCTCAAATCTTTTCTTTATTTTGCTTTTATTGAAGAAAATGCATTCATTCTCCGTGTTATTTGTAAAGTTAACATATTCATCAACTTTCCTCCAACAGTACTTCTCACTCTGTAAGAAATGTGGCATTTATTTTAGAAGTTTTATTCCTAGCTAGCAACAATAATTGCCAGCAGGAAAACTAGTATTTTAAATTTGAGAAATTTAAGCACCTTTAACAGTCATTTATAATGTTTTCAAAAATTAGTTCGTTCAATGTGGTCACTGGTGAATAACAGTTTTGATTTTTTCAATTGATTTAATTAATGATGGTTGACAGATATGTACCGTAATATCAATCAATATATTATGAAATACTTTTAAGTTTATGCAAGTGTAATGGTATGGGTCATGGATATAGGCCAAGTAAGCTCAGTCAGTAGAGCATCTGACCAGTGATGCAGGAGCCCCTTCTTAGATTCATGGTCCAGCCGTGCATTTTCTCCTTCCTTGTTACAGATTTGATGCTATTGACCCCTCTGGATTTGCAAGTGAAAGTCCTGTCAGGGGCTAATAAGAATTTGGGTTGTTTCTGCAAGGATAAAGATAACTTTAAGGAGGGATATGTAATGGTTGTGCTATGGGTATCAACCTGGGCAGCTCATTCTAGTGATGAAACGATTGTCGCCGACGATCGATTGTCGATCGTTTTTGGGTGTTTGATTCCGATTATCGATTACGTTTTTTATAATCGATTGTCGCCCAAATTAACTCGCCCAAAGAAAAATTGTATGATTTGAACAAAACTAATACATACACATTAACAATACATGTAAAACAAAAGGAGGTAAACAAAAATGGCGTCCGAAGGTGACGTTTACAACAATCAAGTAGAAAGTTACCCATATCCAGGGAATGCATAGATAGAATCTACGGACCCAGTTTAAAGATAAGAATTCGTGTCGTGTATTCCTTTATGTAGCAAGAGAAACATGGGCAATAAATCATACTCGGTGCATTTACTATGGCAAATCTAGAGAATTCCGAATGTATAAACATCGCAGGTAAATTTGAAGCGAGAGAAAAACGTTGAGAACATTTATTGGATTTTCGTCTTTATATGGATTATTTTTTGGGATAAAATGCATAAGTAATCTCCAAAAGGATTGTTTTGATTTATTTGGAAGTTATTTCCAGTGCAAATCCTTTTATATTCTTCAAAATCGTTCTACATTGCAAATATATGGGATATATTCTAACTGTGGTGAGGGCTTGTACCGAGACACAGTTAGATTACTCTAACTAGGAAATGCAAAATCTGATGTCATGACAAACATTTTTAGTTTTATGAGCAAATATGGAAAAAAAAAAATTCTGTTTCTTTGTTACTTCTACAACAAAAAGTTGTCTTTAGAATAAACTTAATAAAATTTTATTTTTAGTTTGTTCCATAAATGATAAATGCTGTAAAGAAATAGAATTTTGTATTTGAAATTTGAATTACCAATTAAGTCGATGATCGATCGATTAAGCTTCTCCGATTTTGACCGATTATCGATTATGAAATTTTCCCGATTATTCAACACTAGCCTCATTCGGTAGAGCACATGACTAGTGAAGCAGGGTTCCTGAGTTCAATTCCTGGTCCAACCATAGTTAATAGTGAAATATATATCTTATTTCCACTATGTGATTTCTTTGTATTCTTAGTAACTATTTACATTTTCATATTTAAAAATAACATATCTTTAGAGACCAAAATGTAATCTTTGTTGATAAGTAATTGTATAGGAATATGCATTTTTGAAAAATTTTCTTGACCGTCATTAAAAAAAATTCTCACAGTAAATCTTAGCTTTTTTACTGTATTCATTCTGGCATATATGATTATCTCTTATATCAAATGTACCTATCTTACTGTTACATATCTAGAAGGGATGGAATGTAGAAGCTTCTTGGGCCTTATAAATTTGTAAACTAGAGGACATATTACATATTAATAGGTAAAAACATGTACAGTGTGTACTTTTGAGTTTGAGAAGTACAATTCCTACATTAAAACTCGGTTATAACGATGTCACTGGGACCTATGAAATTACTTCGCTATATCTGTAATTCGTTATAACTGTATAAAAAATCAATTAAATTTATTCAGCTGGGTACCCAAATTGACTTCGCTATATCCGTA